AATTGTGATCTACAGAGAAGTGATGAAACTTTAGATGGATGTTAAGTCATCAAGGGTGTGCCCGTAAATGTAACATCAGGACTTCCATCTCTTCCTGTGTGTCTCTTTGCTCTTTGTCTGCCCTGAGGTGTGAGTGGCTTAACTCCACATGCCCTGTCTACCATAACGTTCTGTCTCTAGAGGCCCACCCAAAGGCAATGTGGCAGAGACAATGAACTCAATCCTCTATAAACACTAGCCAAAATAAACCTTTCCACTTTTAAAGTTTGTCATATCAGAAACTTTATCAAAGTAATAGCTGACTGGCATATGACTCCACGCCTCTTCTTCCCTGTTCCTGCCATAGGTCTTTTATGAAAGATGATGGCTAGCCCAGGCTATCCAAAACTCAAGATCTTGTGTCTGCCTTCTCATTGCAGAGATCCAGGTCTGAACCACAATATCTGCCTGCCTTTGGCTTTCTGTTTTTTTTTTTTTTTTTTTTTTTTTTTTTTTTTTTTTTTTGGAATAGGATCTTGCAGTATAGCCCTAATTGTCCTAGAACTCACTATGTAGACTAGGCTAGCCCCTGAACTTGGAGGTGATTCTCTACCTTCCAAATGCCAGGATTTCAGGCATACACTACCATATCCCCCACATAATTCTTCATGTGTTAATTTATTTGCCTGTTGTTTTTTGTGGTGCAAGCAGTCTGTCATTGAATTACACCCCATCCTGCTGCTATCACTAGTAGTGATTTTAATATCTATCCAACTACCTTTCCAATATTGAGGCTGCTGCTCAACTTTTTTTGACCCCCTGATCTCTAATGGCATCCTCCATGCCCCCTAATCTCAGTTGCACTGCAGTGCCAACACAGATCTGTGTTATCAGGAGCTGAAACTGTCCCACCACTCCCTTTTGGATATCCAATCCTCTAACCAACAACTTCCTTTTGGAAGCTTCAAACAAATGTGTATCGTGTGTTGCTCTTCCTCCTCCTGGCTCACAAGCCCTTGCTTCTCGACCCTCCCATCTCCTGTGGTCTCCTTTCTTCCACTAGACAGTTTTACTTCTTCTTTCACATGAAATATACACATAGCATTGATTTTTCTATACAAAATGGAGGAATCACAAGTGAGGGAAAAACATGGGATATCTGTCTGAGATGAGCTTTATCACTTATTGTTACATCCAACTGATCCATAGCCTGCAAAACCCATAACTTCACTTTTCTTTATGGCTGAAAAAAATCCCATTGTACATGCTTTCTTTATCCATCCCTCAGGTTTTTGACACCCAGGTTGGACCCACAACTTAGCTCTTATGAAACAAGCTGCAATAAACACTGGTGTGTGATGTTATCTCTGTCGTGTTGACTCACTTGGCTGACCACCAACTTCTGTATTTCCTACTTATTTTCTCTAATACCTCATCTAGCAATTATTTGATTCCCTGGGTCCTCCAGTCTATTGCCCTGCCAGCTTTTTAGTCTCCATGGTAACCCACCTCAGCCTTCATGACAAGACTCACTTCCTTGTTTACCTACCTTACTCTTCACTGCTGATAGCATAAACCACCTCCTGCTAAACATCTTTGACTTCTCAATGATGTCTTTTCTATCTTGCCTCTTCCTAGTTGCTTAGTGAAACCCAGATGCAAATTAAATACAGCTCTAGCCCTACTCTGAGCCTATACAAAATGACTGAAGACAATAATGGTGACTGGTGTCTATATCATTAAATATCAAATCAGTCATAACCTGTCAAAGAGGCAGGAAAAGTACATCTGGACAGAGAATACAATGGGAAAATAGGGTTTAATCCTTCAAGATGCAATGTATATCCTAAGGCTGTATTCCAGACAGGTAAAGCAAATGGGCCTTGAACCAAGGATGGATGCAGAGTGGCCTTTTGACCATCACTCCCAGGGTTTGAGCTTCCCACCTCTAGAATTCTGGACATGCCTGCACTTAGGTTGCATCTCTTGCAATACTCCCAGCCATAGTGGATGCCATGATTGTGTTACCCAGAACCCCTCACCAGAGCTGTTCTGGATTCAGGCAAGGGGCACTGTTAATCCTTCATCCATCTGTTACTGCATGTGTTGAGGGGTGTGTGGTGTGACTTTGAATAAGGAAATCTCCACCAATCAGCAGCAGGTCAGAGAAAGACTGCCAAAGCTCATAGCTACTGATACTCCCTGTCACTGGGCAGTGAGTGCCCACATTATCCTGACCAAGGCCTTGTCCTCCTAGAGTCCTTCCTAAATTTGTATAAACTAGCACTACATCCTTCAGTGCTAGCCTGTTACTCGGTCTATTTTTCCTTTTAATGTTAGCAACACTGGGCATATTTTATCACTATAGCTGTTTATTTTGGTCTTCCTCTACTAAAGTTTGTGCTCAATGAGAGCAGGGCTGCCAATCCCTTAGGTTTGTAGCCTGGTATCCAGAATAGTTCTTGGTGTGGAGTAGTTCCTCCACGTGCATTTATTGAACACACATTTGAAACTAGATTTGTAGTAGTCAGTTCACGGAAGGGTGAGCAGCAGGAACTTGGGATGTGCAGTTAGTCTGGCTTTGCCTTGAGACTGGTCTCATATGGCCCAGGTTGACCTTAAATTCACTATGTAGCCAAAGCTGATCTGGGAGTATAGAGTATACCACCATGCCTGGGTAGACTGATCTTTTTAGATGTCTTTTTAAAAGTGCGTGCGTGTGTGTGTGTGTGTGTGTGTGTGTGTGTGTGTGTGTGTGTGTGAATCCCACGGTGTGTGCATGTGGAGGACAGAGGACATCAGTCCTTGGAGGCATCAGTCCTCCTACTATGTAGATTCAGAGATTTAACTCAGGTCCTCAGGCTTGAGGAAAGCCTGTACCCTACTAAGGCATCCTGCTAGCCCCAAAGTGATTTTATTTAGGTATAAGTGACTGTGATAATTAATACTGTCAACTTGACCTGATATAGCATCATGTGGAACACAAACTTTCTGATACCTAAGGGGTTTTCCAAATTCATTTCATTTAGGGTAGACAGGAAGTCCTACCCTAACTGTGCACAGCACTATTCCAGGATGTCTCCACTGTAATAGACTGTACCCTTAAACTGTGAGCCAGAATAAGCGCTTTCTCCCTTAAGTTGCTTTAGTCCATTTTGTTGGTGGTGGTGATGTGTTTGTGTTTAGTCATAGCAACAGGAAAAGTAACTGGTGCAGTGAGTTTTTATTTGAAAGTTATCCTTGAAACATAAACAATGTTTGACATGTGTGCATAACCCACAAACCATCAGTACCTTTCAGATGATGAGCGAACCCTCCATCCTTGAGCTGTCTCCTCTAATTTGTCCTTCCTTCTTCCTACCCTTCCTGTTTCTAGGCAACCATTAATTTGCTTACCATTTTTAAAATAGTTTGCATTTTTAAAAAAAGTTTATGTAAGTGTGTAAAGCCAGCCAGCTACATTCTTCTCCTTTCTTTCTTCTCCTCCAAGTTTCTCTCTCTCTGTGTGTTTCTTTTCCCTGGCTTCCTTCATTCAGTTGTACTTTCTTCTTCTTTTTAAGTAAGGGTACCATGTTGACCCAGCTGGCCTCCAACTAACCATGTAGCTGAGGATAGCCTTGCATTCATACATAATCCTCTTGACTGCACTTGTTTTATTTTATTTATGTTTATTAGTAGTAGTTGGTGTGTGTGTGTGTGTGTGTGTGTGTAGACATTTCAGGTCTCTAGGTTTACACAGCCTTTACCCACTGAACCATCCTACCAGCCTCCTGCCTGCACCTCTTGAGTGCTGGGATTACAGATGTGCACCACAGCAATTGATCTCATCATTTACTTTATTGAATGTGTGTGACTGTTCCCCTGCATCTATGTCTGTGTACCATGTCCATAGCTGTCACCTTTGGAGGCCAGAAGAGAGCGTTGGAGCCCTTGGAACTGGTGTGAACTGCCATGTGAGTGTTGGCTATCTCGCTAGCCCCTTATTCTTTTCTTACTGAAATATTCCATGTATTTGTAATTCATCTTGGCTGGTGAGCATTTTATTTTCTTATAGCTTAAAAATTACTGAAAAAAAAAAAAAAACGACTGGAGAGATGGCTCAGTGGTTAAGAGCACCGGCTGCTCTCCTAAAGAACCTGGGCTTGATTCCCAACATGGCAGCTCAAAATTGTCTGCAACTCCAGTTCCAGGGGATTTGTTGACCTCTTTGGGCCTCTACCATCACTGCACACACATATATACACAAATGCAGCCAAAACACCTGCACACACAAAATAAAGGTTAACATAACATTTTAAAGATAAATAAAATGAGAGTATTCTGAATATTTATGTATGTTTTATGTGACGATATGCTCTCCTTTTTCTTGGGTAAACATCTAGGAGTGAAATGCTACAGGTAGTTTATGTTGGCCTCAGATTCATAATCCTCCTGCCTCAGGTTCCTGAGTATTAAGATAACTGGCATGAACCAACACATCCATCTGATACTGGATACTGTTCAACTTTTTTTTTTTCCGAGACAGGGTTTCTCTGTGTAGCTTTGGAGCCTATCCTGGCACTTGCTCTGGAGACCAGGCTGGCCTCGAACTCACAGAGATCCGCCTGCCTCTGCCTCCCAAGTGCTGGGATTAAAGGTGTGTGCCACCAACACCCGGCTCTGTTCAACTTTTTAAACTACAGCCTACTGGATGGTGGTGGCTCACTCATTTAAACCCAGGAGGCAAAGGCAGGTGGATCTCTGTGAGTTCCAGGCCAGCCTGGTCTACAGAGTGAGTTCCAGGACAAGCTCCAAAGCTACAAAGAGAAACCCTGTATCAAACTCCCACCTCAAAAAAAAAAAAAAAAAAAAAGAAGAAAAGAAAAAGAAAAAGAAGAAACAGTCAAATTGTTTTCCCTGCCTATCAATGTAAGTGTTGCAATAACTTTTCCTGAGATGAATAAGCACCACAAACATGATTCACCAGGTGGAGTAAATAAACAATTCGGCCCAAGTCTAGCTTGATGAAGCAATGGCTTTAATTGGGGTTGCTTGCAAAAGCATAGGTTAAGGGCTACTTAAAGGAAAACAGGCAATTTATGGCAGCTATGCAACCAAGAGTCTCCACCAAGCAACTGTGAACTCCTCATGTATTCTCAGAGAGAGGCAGAGTCTCATGCCTTGTGAACCCCGCCCTCCCCAAGACAAGGGAACATCACTGGGCTCAGTCTCCTGAGTCTGTCTCTCCAGGCAAGTATTCACAGCTGCTCTGATGGCAAGATGGAGGCAGCCATGTCATGCCTAGAGGACAGAGTTCCACTACAACAAGATTGCTGGCTGCGCTACACTAGGTATAGTCTTATTATTAATTTTGCTTTGTGAGTACGTGTTGGTGCTGGAGATCAAACCCAGGGCCTCCAGTCACACCTCTTCTATTGAGCAACCTCCACAGCTTAATCTCTCTAATTTCAGACAGCTAAGAAGTATGCAACTGTACTTCATTGTGCTGATCTGATCAGTAATGATGCCCAGAATTTCCTGGGTGGGCTGGGGCTCTAACCAAGCTAGGCAAATGCTCTAACACTGAGCTATACCACAGCCCTTGTTCCTGTTTCCAGGGTTTCATTATATAGCCCAGGCTGATCTGGAATTCATTGCGTACTTCAGGCCGGCCTTGAATGGGCAATCTCCCTGCCTCTAACTCCTCAATACTAGGATGACAGGAATGTGCAGCTCTTGATTTATGTGAGACATAGTGTTGTTGTGTGGCCCAAACTGGTTTGATTTCATGATCTTCCTGTCTGGAATTACAGGTGTATGTCATTACATACATCACCATTTTTTTATTTAAATTATTTACTTATAATATATACATATATATGATGTTATATGTGGGTATGTGTAGGGAGACACTGTAGCCCCGCCTCCTAGGAGCCCCTACAGGTGTGCCTGGCCATGCCCATGAGGGCGTGGTCAGGGGAGGTCGTGGATCACACCTGAGGGAATTCTTAAGGAGCCGCAGACATGTGGAGAGCCCCTTCTCTCTGGCCTCCCTGGCTTGCTGCCTCTGGGCACGCTCTGGCTTGCGTTTGGCTGGTGTTTATCTGAATAAAGATATCTTAACCTTACGGACTACGATCGTCTTCGTTCTCGTTATAGGTATTCGTTCTCGTTATAGGTATGTGTGATGGTTGGGTTTTTTTTTGTCAACTAGGAAACATTAGCTGAGATTTGCCTGTAAGCAAGTCTATGGGATATTTTCTTGATTAATTATTGATGTGGGAGGGCCCAGCCCACTTTGGGCAGAGCCATTGATGGGCAGGTGGTCATGGACAGTATAAGAAAGCAGGTTGAACCAAGTGGTGGTGGCGCAGGTCTTTAATCCCAGTAATAGGGAGGCAGAAGCAGGCAGATCTCTGTGACTTCAAAGCCAGCCTGATCTACTGAGTGAGTTCAAAGCTAGCCTGGTCTACAGAGTGAGTTCCATGACACCCAAGGCTACACAGAGAAATCCTGCCCCCCCCCCCAAAAAAAAAGCACTCAGGAGGCAGAGGCAGAAGCAGGTGTTTCTCTGTGAGTTCCAAGTCAGTCTGATCTACAAAGTGAGTTCTGCGACATCCAGGACTGTTACACAGAGAAACCCTGTCTCAAAACCCCACCTCCCCAAAAGAAATCAAACTGGACCCTATGCTTACCATACCCTATGTGTGGAGATCAGAAAGCAACTGTGGAGTTGGTTTTCTTCTTTCACCCTTACATGGGTTCTAGAGATCACACTCTGGCTATCTGCCTAGCAGCAAGCACTTCCAACTGCTGAGCCATCTCACCAGCCCTCAGGTGTCCCCTTACTAGCTTTTGAGAATAATACACACACACACACACACACACACACACACACACACACACACACACACAAGTTTTTTAAAAAGAAAATCATTGCCTAACTCAAGATAATAAATATTGTCTTCTACACATTTTCTCATTTCTGAGAAATTTTTTGGTTTTGAGTCTACTTTTATCAATAGATTAATAATTTGGGGAGAACTTAGTCAGTCCTACTGTGTTTCCCAGGCTAGTCTCAAACTCATGGTCTCAATAGATTCTTCTGCCTTCTGATTAGCTGAAGCTAAAAATGTATGCCCCCATATCTGGTTTGAGTCCATTTATTTATGTGTCGAGTGGGAATCCATATTCACTAGACTCAGTACAGGTTAAATAAGGTTTTAGTTTTTTTAAAGATTTCATTTATTTATTTATTATGTATACAACATTCTGCTTCCATGTATATCTGCACACCAGAAGAGGGCACCAGATCTCATAACGGATGGTTGTGAGCCACCATGTGGTTGCTGGGAATTGGAACTCAGGACTTCTGGAAGAGCAGTCAGTGCTCTTAATCTCTGAGCCATCTCTCCAGCGCCAGGTTAAATAAGGTTTATTCGGAGTGATTACACTTAAACAAGAGGCTGCTATAAGTCCCAGCTCCAAGAATCCTCCCAAGCTGTTTGTTTCCCAGGATCAGCCAGCAACTAGAGAGAGCGCCAGCCTAAATCCCCACCTCACCTAAGCACCTGTGACCACGCCCAAACGGGCGTGGTCAGCGCCACAAGTGCGTAGTTAGATATCTCACTACACTTAGGCATTTTAAGTCTTCAAATTTTTATTTTTAATTTATATTGTGTTCATGGATGCTTTGCCTGCATGTGTGTCTGTGTTCCACGTGTGTGCCTGGTGTCCACAGAAGCCAGAAGAGGGCATAAAATGTCCTAAAACTGGAGATATGGATGGTTATGAGCAGCTATGTGGGTGCTGAGAATTGGATCCGGGTCCTTTGCAAGAACAGCCAGTGCTCTAAACTGCTGACCCATCTCTCCAGACCCAAGTCGTGTGTGTGTGTGTGTGTGTGTGTGTGTGTGTGTGTGTGTGTGTGTGTGTGGGGTGTGTGTGTGTGTGTGTGTGTGTGTGTGTGTGTGTGTGTGTGTGTGTGTGTGTGTGTGCGCGCGCGCGCTTAAGACATGTAGTCCAGGCTGGCCTCACCATGTCATTGAGGACATCAAAATGTCCTTCCATAGCATGTGGAGCTATGAGAACATGAGCCCAAACAAACATTCTCTCTCTTAAATTGTTTCTGACAGGTCTTTGACCACAATGGCAAAAAGCTGAGTAAAACATGCAAAATCTAAAACTAAAGGCAAAAAATAAGACAGGAATCCCTGAGTTTAAAATTGCTCTGCCATATCAATAGTTTTCTCTACAGCTTTGTAAATTTCTTTTTTTGAGGGGGGCAGGGTTCTGACTGTTCAGGAACTCACAATGTAGACCAGGCTGGCCTCTGCCTTCAACAGTGCTGCGATTAAACGCCCAGCATAAAATTTATTAGAAGGGAGAGCATTGTACTAGCTCCTTGAAACCAAGGTTCCGGGAACATCTTTGGCCCGCCTGGCACGGCTTTCTCTGACTCTTTTTTTTTTTTCAGTCTTTGCAATATCTGTTCCTGCCAGTCCCCAGTGTCCCTCACTACAGGTAAGCGCTGCACCAGAGGAAAGGTGACTTCAGAGTTTGTTCCCTGTGTTGCTGTCCCACACTCTGCGACCTTCAGTGCTGTCCTTCTGGGAGCCAAGAAAGACCCAGATCACCATCTATGTGAGTGCTGCAGCTAACAGAATGGCTGGAAGACCCGAGAAGGTTTTGTTTCTGATAGGATTCACTCTCCTCTGTCTGAAAACGGTGAGTCTGCCTTTTCAACTCCTACAACTAGTTTTGGGGAAAAATGTACCCATGTATTGTCTTTCTCTCTCTATGAAGGGCTGAGAAGTAGGGAGATGTAAATAGAAATACCTTAAAATCATATGAAGACGGTACGTTTTTGTGTTTGAGATGTAATGTGATGTACTAAAGAAAGAAGACAAGATTATCATTGTGTTTAAAGAACAAAGACTCCTGAAAAAAAAAAATGCGTAAACAGCTTCTGACTTAGGCCAATAAGCAGATTCAAGGGAAAAATGAATAGTAACACAGTCTAGTAGTACCCAGACTGAGTCATTTTCAGCATTGCTTTAGGGTAGATTTGAGTGCTGGGAAAGGAGACAGGCACTCACCTGAATGGGAAAGTTACTGTGACAGTAATGTTGTGATTACTGTGTCCTGTGTTCCTTTCATTCCCCAAATGCCGTTTTTCCTCATTCTTCTAACTTTCTAAATTTTCCTTTTCAGGTTATTTCATCCACAACAGGTAATGATTTCTGACATGTATTTGATTTTAATTTCCACTGCTGATTGGTCTAGTCTCATCTAAAAAGACTATCCTGAGAGGGCGGGTAGCAACATTTTTCTGAGCGTGCATAGTGGGTGCTAACTCCGTGTAAAAAAAATACCGGAGAGACCATAATTAGTAAAATAAATCCACTGGGTCATATTTACAAAATTAGTCCTTCGAAGGTGTTACTAGTGAGAACTATAATATAGCACCGCATTTTCCACCCAGTTAGCTGTGGACAAACTACCACAGGGATCATCAACCCACTCAAAAATTAAAATTTGCACCACAACAGTCTACTTATATAGCTTTCCTACTTGTCTTTTGGGACATTAGAAGAAAACAAAAAGAATCAGAAATGCTGTATTAAATTACACTTTCAAAATCCTCTACCAAGTAAAAACAAAGAAAAAAAAAAAAACTGTTTCAGGTGTGGTGGTATACACCTATAATCCCAGAACTTTGAGGGTGGACGCAGGAAGGTCACATGTTTAAGGTTATCTTTGGCTACATAGTAATTTTGGGGCAAGCTTGGGAGGAGGAGATCCTGTTTCAAAAAAGCAAAAAACCAAATCAGAGAGAGAGGGGGGGAGAGGGAGAAAGAGAGAGAGAGAGAGAGGAAAGAGAGAGAGCTTTGTACATCTAGCCTATGCTGAGGTCAACACAGTAATACAAGGATTCAGAACTGTAAAAAGGTCTCCCTATTTAAAAAAGATTTCAATCATCATTTTTTTTTCTGAATAAATGACCGGAGGCCACAGTAATTTTTCTAGAAAAATTTCCTGCCTCATACATCTAGAAATCTAAGTGGACAGGATAGCAATTTATGTTGAACAGGCTTTAGATTATCTGCAAAAACCATATACAATCGACTCTCTTAGAGCTAAACTCTCAGAGTGATTCAATACACACTGGAACAACTTTTATTGTTTTGCTAACATCATAAAAAATGAAGTAGAATTAAGAATTTTTACATTAAACATATGGCTGCATTTTAATATTTCATTAAACCCATACATATACAGTTGTGGTTTTTGTTTTGTTTTTGTTTTTGTTTTTTTGTTGTCTCCAGACAGGATTTCTCTGTGTAGTTTTGACTGTCCTGGAACTCAGGCTGGCCTGGAATTCAGAAATCTGGGCGCTTCTGTCTCCCTAGTGCTGGGAGACAGATCCAGCTATGGAGTTGGCTTTTAAAAATCATTTCTTATTTTATTCTTACTCATTATTCTCTAAAACACTTTTAAAATTTGTCTATGTGCATGGGTGTGTTGTCTGCATGTATGTCCATGTGTTACACGAATACATGGTGCCTGGAGAGGCCAGAAGAGGATGTTGGATCCCCTGGGCTGGAGTTACAGATGGTTGTGATGCACAGTGTGTGTGCCTGGGATTGAACCTGAGCCTTCTGACAAAGCAGCCAGTGCTCTTAACTGCTGAGCCAGCTCTCCAGACCATCGGTGTTATATTACTCTTGAGAGAACTTCATGATTGTCCAGGAAGTTATGAGAAAGACTGTTTAATCACATTCCTAATGATTTTAAATTTTTTTTACTATTTGTTTTATTTATTCCACTTAATATGAGTCCCTGTGTTGACCAGCCTGGCTTTGATTTCCCAGGCTTAAGCAATTCTGCCCCAGTAACCTGAGAAGCCAGCACTGCATGCACACACTAATCTGCTTGGTTTATAAGTGATTAAAAAGTAAATAGCTGCCCCTTGTATAGCAAACTTCACTGTGTCCTACAAAGTCCCAGTAAACCCAGGACCCATTGAGACCTTCTCTTTTCCTCCCAACGTGATCCACCCCATTGGACAGAAAACAAGAGGGCCAGATTTCGATGCCAGTAATGCTGTTAATTGATTCATCTTGGTTTTTCAATAGATGGACGGTGTCTGGTTTGTACTGTGTAGAAGGCTTCATCTTGCGTGTGTGTATTTGATTTTCTTTGGGCTTTGGCATTCCTGCTTATCCGTGTCTAGGTTCTGAGGACTTTGAGCTGATTTAGATTCTCTGAGTTGGTCAAACTCACAGATGCTGAGAATCAAAGGGTCTCATTTTGGATGCATCAATGTGTGCACATCCAGGGGATAAAGTCTTCCCTTTCATCAACCCAAGAAGTGACACTTGACACTTCTACTTCTCTGCTCTCTCTCTCTCACACACACTCTCTCTAAGATTGAGAGAGTGGAGAGGATAAGACTCATAATTTTTGTCATTCTTCCCCTAATTCTAATAATGATAAAAATAAAATTATTAAAGCTGGGCCTAGTGGCACACACCTTTAATCCCAGCACTCAGGAGGCAGAGGCAGGGGGATCTCTGTGAGTTTGATAGCAGCCTGGTCTTCAAAGTAAGTGCCAGGGCAGCCATGGCTGTTACACAGAGAAACAGTGTCTCAAAAAACCAAAAAAAAAAAGGAAAAAGATGAGAGACAGACAGACAGACAGACAGACAGAGAGAGAGAGAGAGAGAGAGAGAGAGAGAGAGAGAGGGAAAAAGATGAGAGACAGACAGATAGAGAGAGAGAGAGAGAGAGAGAGAGAGAGAGAGCACAAAGCAAAGAAAACAATCAAGACAAAAGCCCCGTGTTAGTATTAAATGATAATATAATTGAATCATCGGTTAGCTTGGGGTGGTAAACTCAGTTGCAAAAGCTTGCTTAGCATGTGTGAGCCCTTTCATTCAATCACTAGCACCAGGGTAGAGAGGAATAAAACTAAGCCTGACAACCAGAATCTCCAGGGCTCTTATTTATAGATGCTACCTGTTCTCAAAAGAGAAACAGTGCGATTAGATGTGTCTGCCTCCTAGAATCAGTTTCATCCCTTTCAGCTGTCCCTTCTCAGGGTTTATCTTCTTCCCAAAGTCCGCATTTATTTTATTTTATGGCAAAGTACCTCGGGCTGGCTTAAAACTCACTATGTAGTCAAGGATGACCTTGAACTTGCAATCTCCTACTTCTACCTCCTAAGTACCAGGTTTATAGGCATCCACTGGATTTATGAGTGCTAGGGATGGAATCAAAACTTTGTGCATGCTAGGCAAGCACTCTACCAACTGAGCCACATCACCGGCCACTCAAGAGTTGCTTTGCTCCTTCTGTTCTTTGAAGGTCTGTTGAAACATGTCACAGCACCAGATCTACCTACCAGTCCATCCCTCCCATGGAAAAAAAATGTTCCTGAAGTCTGGTCCCACCTGGTCTCATTCTGCTACACCAGGACTGGGCACACAGTGGATGCTCACACTTGCTCCTTCATCAGGCTCACGGGCTCTGATAGACTCCAACGCTCCCATTCTGAGCATCTGCCCATGCTATTCCCCGAGAGCACTAGGATTCTGCTTCTTATCTCCTAGAACAACGGTTCACAACCTGCAGGTTTCCACCCTTTTGGGGAGTCTTTCACGGGGGGTTGCCTAAGACCATCAGAAAACAGATGTTTGCATTATGATTCATAACTAGCAAAATTAGTTATAAAGTAGCAACGAAAATAATTTTATGGTTGGGGTCACCACAACATGAAGGAACTGTATTAAAGGGCCGCAGCATTAGGAAGGTTGAGAAGCCTGGGGCTAGAGGTGTCTGTTGATTTGCTTTTGTGGCTGGCACTAGTCAATCTGCTGAGAGCCAACTGTGAATCAGGCATACTCTGTCTCTGTCTGTCTCTCTGTCTCTGTCTCTGTCTCTGTCTCTGTCTCTTTACGTCTCTCTCCTGCCTGTGTTCACCCCTGACTCCCCAGTGTCTTACTTTCACTGGAACCCTCCCGTGGCTATACTATATGATTGGCTTTCCCAAAGCCATTCATACTTGTTTACCTTGGTAGACACACACACACACACACACACACACACACACACTCTCTCTCTCTCTCTCTCTCTCTCTCTCTCTCTCTCAAAGTACCTTTATATGCTTCTATTTAATCTTTACAATAATCATAAATTATAGCTATTTTACACATTTCAAAGTAATTCCTAAAGCGTAGGAATCATGAGTGCCCCAGCTTTCTCAAAGGAGGCAATGTACACTAGGATACCTTAAATGTCTCACATTTATTCATACATAAAAATGCAAAGCAGAGCCAGGCCTGAAAACTGGAGCTCCTGAATCCAAATCCTTTCCATTTTTCCAACCCTGGTTTTCACTCTGTTCATATAGCTTCCTGTGTGACTCCTCCATCGCTTGGTTCTATGGGGACAAATACAGAGTCCTCAGGCAGTACAGCAGCCTATGGGAAAATAGTCTGTGCATGCTGGCCTTTTAGCTCCTCTCCATGAATGTGGCTTCAGGCCTTCTATGTCTGCAGCTGGTCATTTTCCCAGGAAGTCTGTCCATTCCAATGAGCAGGCCTATCTGTCACAGGAGCCGAGATAAACTGTGGGGCAGAGGAAACAGAAGGCGTTGAGAGACACCAGAAGATGAGAAGAAAAGAGGCACAGACCACAGGGAAATGACTTATGGGGGTGGGGTGGGAGGGCTTGCAGATGAGAGATGGGGGTGGGAGGAGGAGGCCCTACAGGGCTTTTTGTTCCTAGAGGCCAGAAGGGACACCCACTCTTCCTGCTGAATCAGCTTCACTGGCAAAAGGCCACCAGGCCCCCGGCTTCCCCCAGCACATATGACCAGCATGATTTTCTTTCTGTGACAAAGAGATACTCCTGGATGATGTTCCAGAAGTATCTGGCCAATGAACAGTGGAGACTTTGTTCACTTTTGCAGCCTGGTTATTTCTGAGTGGCCGCCAATGTGAACTCTCTTGACTGCTGACTGGAACAGAAAGAGAAGGTTGTCTGTATTGTGCACCTAGGTAGGGGTTTGACAAAACAGAAACCTGGAAGAGCTGATGCTGGCAAACCACTTGGCTTTTATTCTGTCTTCTTGCCCTATAGTTTTCCCCTTAATCTTTTTATTTGGTTGGTTGGCTGATTAACTGGTTTTGGATTTCTTTGGTTGTTTTTGAGATAGGGTTACAAATAGGCTGTCCTCTTCCAACCCTGTATACAGTTGAGGACGTCCTAAGTGCTGGGGCTGCAGGCATGCATGCTCTACCTGGCTTTGATTAGTTGCTGTGGTGGTGTGCTTGTTGTTTGTTTGTTTGAGATAGGCTCTATGTAGCCCAGCTGGGTCTCAGACTTCAGATCTTCCTGCCTCAGCCTCCCTAGTGCGTGCATCACCACATCTGGCTTGCCCTTCAGCTATGAATTTGGCATACAGTGACTGTGCTCAACAAAGGGAGTACATTAAAAGGTGGAGAGGCAATCTCAGAACTAAAAACCCAGCATACGTTTATTGAGCTCTTCTGCTTGGATCTCCTACAGAATACAGAACAGTGTGTGTGTGTGTGTGTGTGTGTGTGTGTGTGTGTGTGTGTGTGTGTGTATGCATGCATGTGTGTGCTTGTGGATTTTCTGAGGTGGTAGATCTGATTCTCACACTGAATGTTCTACCCTGTACCGGAAGCAAAGGGCTCTCCTGAGTGCTCGTGACATAAACATTCCCATGGGGAACTACAGCCAGCCTCAGAAGGGCTTCAATATCTAAGCCTTACACTGAGGTGTATTTTGGTAGGCAAAGGAAGAACAAAGTTCATTTTCTTGTGTATAAAAGAACCTGAAAATTGTTCTGCTCTGATAGTAACAAGGCAGTGTGGAGCAATTGTAACAAAGCCTTGGGTTCTCCTCCTTCCTCTGTTAGATTAGAGCCCACTTGGGAAATGTGCAGAGTCATGAGAAAGGGACCACAGGCAGTGAGAGAGACGTGGGGGGCCCAGCAGGAAGCAGTGCGCCTCTGTGGGGGCAGGGAGGGACCTCAATGACAAAGTAGCCTTGGAAACTCACAGAACACCAAACCAGAGCAGAACCCTCTGCATTAAAGCCTCTCCATTGTCTCCCTCTTCTCAGAGCTCTTTCCCACAACCTCTTCCCATTAGTACTTAACTCCCTTAAAAGCATAGGAAGCACAAGTGGCCCACAGGAGCTGGGAAGTGACGGCTGTGCTCGGGCTGTCTCTTGGAAAACAGTTGTTCTCCCGGCTTCCCCCACTCTTTATCTGTCTCTACTTTTTAAAAAAATTTGTATTTTTTAAATTTTATTTACTTATTTGTGTGTGTGTGTGTGTGTGTGTGTGTGTGTGTGTGTGTGTAGAAACATGTGCCTTGTGTAGTATGCATGTATGTGGTGTGTGTGCATGCCTCTGTGTGTGTGTGTGTGTGTGTGTGCGTGCCTCTGTGTGTGTGTGATACCATCATCCTGCCCACATTCCTTCACCCCATGTAGAGGACTTCAGATGTGAAATCTTTCCTTCTAACAGAGATCCCAGGGATCAAACCAAACTCAGGTCATCAGGTTTGCTGGCAAGCTTTCTTGCCTCCTGGCCCAGGCATCAGCCCCTCTCTTCTTTTCTTTCTTTTTTTGTGATACTGGACATTGAGTCCAGGGACTTAATGTATGCTAGGCAAGTGCTCCACCACTGAGCCACATCCCAATACCTATTATAATTATGATCATTATTATTTTAAATTTTGCTCCACCACTGATCCACATCCCAATACCTATTATAATTATGATCATTATTATTTTAAATTTTGAGACAGAGTCTTGCTATGTTGTCCAGACTGGCCTTAATTTCATCCTCCTGCCTCCACCTCTTATGTAGCTGGACCATAGGCTTGCACAACACTCCCAGCTTCCTTCTTTCTCTGGAAAATGAAGTTAAATCTTATGTTCGTGGGAAGACACTCGAATAATGTAGTTTAGGGAGGGACTGAAGAAAGACGTCATCCTTGTAGGACATCCTGGCTAATGCACAACTTCAAACTATTTTTCAGCACCTGAAATACCAACTATTGATCAGGCATATTCAAAAATCAGCAATAGTATCACAGTAGAGTGGACTACTGTGCCAGGGGCCACAGGTTACTTGCTCACAGCTGAAGATGGGGACACAATCATTGAGACCACGGTGGCCAGTTCCCCAGGCACTGTGACAGGCCTGAAGGCTGCGACCTTGTATCAAATCACCATCAGGTCCATCAGCGCCTCTGGACGAAGCCAGGCATCATCTCCAAAGCAGGCAAAGACAGGTAGATAACTTGGAGGCCCATGCTGTCAAGTGTTTTCTTGTGATTTAGATCAATTTTAACAGCTCTGCAAATGTGTTATGTGGTTTGTGCACACATGAGTTCAACAGTGCAAGGCCCAGAGGCAAAAGCCACCAATTTTTGTTTGTTTGCTTTTGTTATTGCAACTCAGCAATTTGTGGAGAAAGTAACAAACACTCAGATGCCTAGCACTTTGCTTTGAAATTTAAAACCCATTTCTGGACAGTTTCAAAGAGCAAAATTCTTTTAAATCCCTGAAAAAGCGATTTCTGTTTTCACCCACGCCAAATAGGGAATACATAGAACAGATGTTGCATCGCATTGAGCATATAGCAGATACGTTAACAAATAAAAGTTTTGGGATCCTGGATGCCACCAGAATCCAATTCACTTCATGAAGTCACACCTGGACATATTTCTGAAAAACCATGTGCAGGGATTGGTGCATATTTCAGTGGTAGAGTGCTGGCCTAACATGTACAAGGCTGAGTTCACTCTCAGCATTGAAAACTAAAAGTAATTTGCCCACTAAAATAGTCTGAACAATCATTTTCCTTATTTGTTTATATGGATGCTTTAACTTCTCACCAACTGCAAGTTGAAAACATTGCCTAGTGGTTTCTAGTGTCTTACTACCTCAGATTTTTTGAGACAGGGAAGCCTAACCAGACCTCAACCTCAAAGTAATTCTCCTGCCTTAGCTTCCTGAGTGCTGGGATTGTAAGTGTGCACCGCCACTCCTGGCTTGAGTTTCCACAAGCATTTCCTACCACAACATTTATTATTAATACATACTTAAGTAGCTTTCCTAAAATCAAACCATAGGAAGAACTCAGGGCCTCCATCATGTCAGACAAGCACTCCACCACCGAGCTATATCCTTAGCTCCAATTAGCAATCACTAGTTGGAACTCTGACATTATACTATGAACACTATGGTTAATCAACCTGCATTCATTTATTCCTCAATAACTTGAATTATACTCTACAGAGTTTTATAACACATATTCACGGTTTCACTTTGCTTTTACTAACAGTGTTGGCTGCACCAGTTTTGGAAGTTGGCTCTCCAAGTCCAGACTCCATCTTTGTAAGATGGGATGCTGTATATATGGCAATCGGCTTCTCTGTGTCTGTTATGCGAGCCAATGGCTTGGGTAGAATTTGGAAAGAGAATACTACAAACACCTCCTTGACCTTCAGCAGCTTAGAAGCTGGGACTCTGTATACTATCAAGGCCTATGCTTGGAATGCCAATGGAATCCCTGGGGATGACTCCACCTGCAACCTGAGAACCAGTAAGGACTCCTCAGCTCAGCCTTGAGCAATCTTAGTTTTGATTAATGAGGGGGCTGGGTATCACAGCCGTGGAGAGCAATGCTAAGTGATGAGTAGGGAGCAGCTGGCAGCAGCTGCTTAAATTTATTATGAAGTTATTTATAGTGCCTTGACTATGCCTCGGCAGCAGCTCAAACGCTCACTTGAGTGGTGGGGGGCACAGCACCTCCCCCTCTGATAGCCAAGCCCACTGCAGCGTGCACATTCCAGATCACAGAAGGAAAGAGCTCTTGTTAGGTTGACTGATCCGTCCTTGTGCCTTCATGGTCTTGTTGGATCAACTAAATCAAGCCCTGCTTTTTCCCCTCCTGTGTTCAAGCCAGCAGTCTAAACAAAAAAGAATTGAGGCAACAGGAATTCAATCCTTCAACAGACATTTAGTGAGTGTGTGCCAATCTGAAGCCAGCATCGATCCAGGGACAGTCACAGAAAGAGTTCCTGCTGCTCCTATGTCTGACATGAGTCTGTGTTTCAGATATAGTTCCCCGACACCAGCACGAGGCTGAAGCTGACATGGGGAAGCCCAACACCCCTTCTCTAGTTGTGGACTGCCCAGTGTAATGGGTTCTCTCAGCATTCCATCCCAGGAACATGGGGTGGGGGTGCGCTTAAGCATGAAAACCGGAAGTCCAAATTCAGCTGCTAGAGTGAAACTAAAAGAATCAGAGGGAGCTAGGGAGCAGGCACGCATGTGTGAGTGTGTAAGTAATAAATGCCAGACCTTCACCAACTTAACCAGAGTAGCTATTTTATCTCTTAGGGGAGGACTTTGAAATGGGAGTCTCATTAATGAACCAGGCAGAAATTAAGGGAGAAGAGAGGGTTTGCCTTTATAATAGTCATATAGGGGAAAGGATGGTGAGCAGCCCCAAGGTTATTCACTGTTGACTTGGTAAATCAGGGTATTTGTGCCAAACCAGCCTCCCTGGGCCTTTTAGTGGCTTGCCTGCCCAGACCCTTCTCTCCCTTTTCCTCTCCTCCTTCTCTCCTTCCCCACTTCCCTTCTCCTTCCTCCCCCTCATCTTCCTGCAAACATTTAGCTGTTGGGAGTACAGATGAAAGGAAGCAAAGAACTGCATCCAAGGAACTGACCCTGTCCAAAGATGCATAACTTGGACATTAGAGTCATTCATAACAGAGAACTTTGCTAGAATGTACACCGGCACAGTGTGCATAGGAAGTAGCATCTACACCCAGTCAGGGGAACAAGAGAGCCACTTGGTTTCTTTTTGAATAATATTTTTATTAGTTTTTGAGAATTTTGTTTTTTTCAAGACAGGGTTTCTCTGTATAACAGTCTTGGAATTTGCTTTGTAGACCAGGCTGGCCTCACAGAGACCCGCTTGCCTCTACCTCCGGAGTGCTGGGATTAAAGGTGTGGACCACCACTGCTCAGTTTGAGAATTTTATAATATACTTTGATATTCACCCCTACTGCTCCCATAACTCCTCCCAGACCCACCTCATCCCTCACCCCCAATTTCATGTCCTTTTTTTTTAAAAAAAAATGCATATAGGTATTTTGCCTGCATGTATGTCTGTATATCATGTGCATTCCTGTTGCCTAAGACTATAAGAGAGTAGCAGCTCTCAAGGCTGCAAGTTTCTTAGGTTTTGACCTTGGTCTGTAGCTTGCCTTCTGTCCTCTGGGCTTGGGCTGACCCACTGTTGATGATCTGTGGCTGCCTTTCTGTCCTGAATCTTGGGCATAAGTCTGATTCCCTATTTTCTCCTCTGTTGGGATGCTGTCTGACCTGGTGTCCTCTCTGACCACATCCAGAGCAACCTCTAGAAGGCTCTGTGCCTTTCTTCCTTATTCCTTGCTTTCTCTGGAGGCATAACATTTTTAACTGAAGTTCCTGCAAGGCAGCCACCATCGCTAATCCCTGAGTGTAAGCCAGTCCGATATCTAAACAAATTTTAATGAACTTGTCTATGTCAGCCTTCTTCCTGTGAGGCCTTGGCCTGGCCTGGCATACTGTACTAGCATTCTCATAAGCTAGCTGTTTCACAATCAAAGGTTCAACACCTGTGTCCCTAACTTTTTTTTTTTTTGATAATGTCTGCATTGGCCTAGAGACAAATTCTGAAATAACTCCCTAGGTCCCTGCCTGCTCTCTATAAAAAATAATCTCCCCTGACCAGCAGGCCTTGGCTATCTGTTCCCAAATTCCTAGGGGTAAGTCTTCTACAGCAATATTCTCTATAAGCGTCTGGGTGAAAACCACTGTCCATCTATAATGAACATAAGCCATCCTTAGTTCCTTAAGCTGCTTAAATGGTATCAGTTTCTGCATCTTGCTTATGTTTCTCTGAGTATCTCTATGTTCCTATATAGGAAATGTCTGAAATCCTTGAGCATCTCTTTCTATCTGCCACTTGTCTAAGCTTGCATTGGAGACATCTGGCTGCCCGCCGTGACTGGAAGGGTGTCTGTACCTTAGGCTGACCCATGCTTGTTGCTTTCACAGACAAAGGAACATTTCTCTGATCTGAGGAAACCTGCAAATTTCTTATCTCCTGTGAGAGCAATTCCACTAAATCTTTCAAACCTCTTAGCTCCTGCTGAATTTTCCCACTGGGTTTTTGCCTCTCTGTATTCCCAGTTTAAAATGAAGGAGGTGAAGACTCTCCATCTTGATACTTAGCAACTCTCTCTTTATACTCATGCCAATCACTCTGCCCTGTGTATTCTTTTTCATCTTGCTGCTCCTCAGAAGGTCTCTGGTCTCTATTACATTGCTAACCAGTGCAGGGGCAGATATTTCCTGCTGTCCCTGCACATATGCACGGTTGCACCTTTGTTTCCCCAAGCCCTGGGGCAGCTCTGATACAGCTGTGGTAGTGGCTTCTGCAAGACGGAAGGATCCTTTCAATCTTTTTTTATTTTTAAAGATTTTATTTATTTATTATGTATACAGCATTCTGCTTCCATGTATATCTGCACACCAGAAGAGAGCACCAGATCTCATAACGGATGGTTGTGAGTCACCATGTGGTTGCTAGGAATTGAACTCAGGACCTCTGGAAGAGCAGTCAGTGCTCTAAACCTCTGAGCCATCTCTCCAGCCCCCACTTTCAATCTTTTAAACTCTAAAATTTTCTGTACTTGATTTTTGCTTTACTTCAGCTCTCCTGGCTATTAAAATATACCTAAGTAAATATACAATCGTCTGACTAAGAATTTTCTGTCTCATATCTCTATCTATATACATTACTCTCAAGGTTAACTCACTTCTCTTTATCATCTGGCTAATATTCCTGGTCATTACCATTTATAACCAACCCCATTTAAATAAAAACACACATTTATAAAGAGTATTTGGGAATGTAGGTGTCATTCTCTCCAACCTGCTTCCTGCTGATTGGGAACGCTGAAATACCCTAGGGATCCTAAGAAAACCCAGAAATTCTGGCTGTAGTGGTCTGTGACTGCATTGTCCCAGGTGTCTTCAATGTTGGATCACCTGGCCATTGCTTCAGGGAGTCTTGCACTTCACCAAACCATATTAGTCTGAAAAGAATCCACAGCTTTTCATTTTCTGTGGAAACAAAAGCAGCAATTCTTTTCCCAAGTAACCTGTCCTTATACTTAAATTTAGAAGTCAAAGCATTTTAAAAATATTTAAGTTGGATTAATTCAGCAGCATTTATAATCAAATATCTGTTAGCAGCTTTTGCTCTTTCCTTAGCAATTGAACAATTTAAAGACAGCACAATTTAAAGACAGTATCCAGACTGTGTATCTTTTACTTTTTATTTTATTTTTAAAACTTTACTTTTCATTTTCTATTTTTCTATTATTTTTACTTTTCATATAAAAATTCTACTAACTGCAGTTTTCTTTTTGAGACAGCACTTCTCTATTTCCAGTCCAACTCTCTCAGGAGTTGAGGCACCAGTCCACCCTCATAAACCTTACTTGCTGGCACCAGCCTTCCGAGGGTGATCTCTCAGAGTCCCCTTTCTTTCCCGATCTCAGTGGAACCTCCACTTGTGGTGTCTGAGTCACAACTAAGTCCAAGTATTGGGCAAAAACCGGGAGATTTAGTTAAAAGCAGAGATATCTGGTCACTTGTGCTATGTGCATCTGTCCAACTTTATTCGTCTTCCTTATTCCAAGGGGAGAGCAGCCTTATATACACTTACAGCACAGTGGAAAAACCCAGGTGTAAGAGCTCGTGGAGAAAGAGCTTGTGTTTTCCCAGGTGTAGTGGGTCAAGGCCAGGGCTGTTAAGTCAGGACTAGAAAACAGGATGCACCTGTGGTTATTGGCTGACAAGCAACTCACAGAGACCCTGTGGGGGCTGGGACCCAACACCTTCTTCAGTATCCAAAGGGCTGAAATTACATCACCATCCCAGGCTTCTCCAATGTTATTCTTCACCACTTGTTAGGTAGTATATTCATGCATTCAGAGAATACTTTTAAATGGCAGCTATGTGTTAAATACTGCTCTTATATCAATTTTTACAAACAAAAAGAAAAAGATGAAATAATATGACCAAGGTTGCAGAGCTAAGAATGAGTTTGCACAGTAATGGCCATTATGTTACCAATTCCCAGATAAACTAAGTCCCAAATTTCTGCTTTGAACAATTTAACGTTTTCCAGCTACTACGGTCTCATATCTCCTGATGGCCTCAATATTACGAAGCTAAATCTTACATAGGTTCTTGTTTCTCAAAAACATAGGTCCTCGTGCCCCTGCCAACATTGAAGTCTTCTTTGACAGTGGGTCCCTGAAGGCGTCTGTTTCATGGACACCAACAGAAGGAGCATTCAACTACACGGTGATGGCGTCCAGCGATTCTTCCCAGCGGAGCTGCAGCACAGCTCTCAGTTCTTGCAGCATCAGTGCCCTGCAGTGTGGAACTGAGTACCTGATTTCTGTCTCAGCCAGTAATGATGCTGGGTCCAGCAGGTCCTCTGCAGGGACCCTGAAGACTGGTATGTGAGAAAGAGTGAGAGCCCTGAAGGGCTGGTGACCTCATTGGCTTCCATAAGGGGAAAAGAAATCCCCAGCAAGGTTCTAGAATATTCTGGAGGCAGTGACAAACAAAGCCTGGTCCAAGATGAACATATATTTGTCATCCTAACAGGCTGAATGAAGCAGGAGGGTGGCCATGAGTTTGAGGTCAGCATGGGCAGCATACTGAGTTCTAAACCAGCTGTGGCTATGTAGCAAGAACTTGTCTGGAAAAAAAAAAAAGAAAGAAAGAAAGAAAGGAAGGAAGGAAGGAAGGAAGGAGAGGTTGTCGAGATGGCTGAGTAGGTAAAGGTGCCTGCTGCACAAACCTGAGTTCAAACCAGGAACCCACACAGAGGTAGAAGGAAGCCAACTCCACAAAGTTGTGTCTGCCCTCCACTTTCATGCTGACACACCCTCCCCACCACAATAAGCATACACACAATGTAATAATAGTTATAGTAATAATAAACATTTTTTCAAAACAAAGAAAAGAAAGGGCTGGAGAGATGGCTCAGAGGTTAAGAGCACTGGCTTCTCTTCCAGAGGCCCTGAGTTCAATTCCCAGCAACCAAATGGTGGCTCACAAACATCTATAATGTCATCTGGTGCCCTCTTCTGGCCTGCAGGGAGACATGCAGACAGAACACTGTATACATAATAAATAAATCTTTAAAAAGAAAAGAAAAAGAAAGCTAACCCCAGTCTAAATGAAAGTATTGAGCTGGGGATTTCAATGAGTGAATAATACCAATGAAGGAGCATATATTATATATTGCAGAAAAACACGTCTGTGACTATTCACAGGCTTGTCCTCTATTCCTGGTCTTGCATTCTTTTTCTTTTTCATCTTTCTTTTATTGTATGCTATTTTATTTTACTTTTTTGAGACAAGGTCTCACAGGGTTTCCCAGATGGGTCTCGAACTCCCGGGCTCTTACATTCATCAACTGGGGCTGAGATGGTCATCACTATAACTGCTTGCTGTTTTAATTTTTAAAGGTTTGAAAATTCTAAGATTCAGTCTGTTATTTACAGTTCTTCAGAGCACAAATAACTAACTGCTCATTCCTGTGTATAAGTGCATGTGTGGTATGTGTGGTGCATGCATGTAAATATGAGGATGCTTGCAGTCATGTGTGCACCTGAGTGAGCCAGAGCAGGCCTTTAGGCATCGTCTCCTGTCAATCCCCTGTCACTCTTGCCCTCTTGCAAGGACTCAACCACCGCTCACTGAACCAGAAGGTACCTGTGTGGCCAGTGAGTCTGGAAGATCTGCCTGTCTCCATCCACAGATTCTGGAATTACATACATGTGTAGCTATACTCAGCTTTACTCAGTGATTCTAGGGATTCGAACTTGGGTCCTCATGGCTGAAGAGAGCACTCTGACCCATTGACCCCAGCCCCTATCTCTTCTTGACGGGTTTCATGACTAAGGCTTGGTAGGAGCTGTTTTAAAAACTAAGGTGGGAGATTTCTAGTTCTAAATGTGTTTCAGAATCTCCCCAAATTTATTCTTGTTGGAAACGTAAAGACACATATGTAGAGGTGCGTTGCTCCATCCAGAAGCATCAATGTGTCTAGGGAGTTGGAACTAACATTTAGTGGGATCTACTACATCTCAGGTACCATATTTACACTATTTAACTCTTAGGATAATTTTAAGAGATGTTGCTTCTTTTTATTGTTGTTTGTTTATTTGAATCAGGGTCTAATGAAGCTCAGGTTGACTTCTGTAGCTGAATCTGGCCTTGAACTCCTGATTCTCTAGCTTCCATCTCCCAAGTGTTTCGGTCACAGGCACACACCACCAGGTCTGGCTTATCTCTTCCTTTTAGATGCAAAAACAGAAGCTCCAAGACACTAAAGGCTGTTTCTTCTAGTGCACACTGATAATAAGAGGTGCAGCTGAGATCTGTACTCACGCTCGCTCGCATTATGGTGATCCTCTGGGATGAGGACAATGTAACAATGTCCACTCGAGTCAACCATCAGAACTATGTTGCTTTAAGGTGGAGTGGACTATGAACAGAGGATCAGAGCTCTCACCAAGCTGATGTCCTCTCTTCTACAAGGGGAAAAACATAGTCAAACCCTCAGACCCACAGCTTCTTAGAGTAATGTTAAATTAAGACCACCAACACAAGACTTCTCTTTTGACAATTACAAGTTTGTGTAGCAAGTGCAATAAAAGTGATTCTGAAGACAGAGTGGCTGAGGGCATTAGGAAAGATAAGCACTCAAAGACATAGAGATTTGTGTAAAGCAAGAAAAAAAAAACATCCTGTGTTTTTAAATTCAGATGCACAGCAAAACATCTTGGGAATGTTTATAAGACCTAAATACCCAGATACCACCAAGGTCAATTAAATTGGGATTTCTGGGAACAGAGTTCAATAGAATAGTTTTTAAAAGCTCCCCAATTGATTTTTAACCTGTTGTCAGTGTTAAGTGCTACCGAAAGAGTCCTTCCAACTTTCAACTCCTGCCCTTATTGGTTCAGGAGTTACCACTGTAGTGAGAGTATGACACACACAGTCAGTACTGATCATGAGAAAAACCTTGATTTATCCATAAAAGAACTATGTTTAGAAAGGATTATTGTTTCCCAGGGCCCAGAAATGAGAACTCTATTTTAGGAGGACTTACATTAGAGATGACCACACTTTCGAAAGCTTATGGGTTGAATGGATGACCTTGGTTTGAAGTCATTCTTTCAGAAGACTTCAGTCCACGATGATCTTAGATAAAAGAACTATTGCCTTGACACAAAACATGAGCAACATTAGCCAAGGAGACTGTGTCTGTGGAAGAGAGAGTGTAGCATCCATGGTGTGAAATAAAAATTGAGGATGTCTGAGCAGATCTCCTTGGTTTGCACTGAGTTATGCTTACCGTTTGTTTTGGTACTTGTCTGAGCATCTAGCATCTTAACTACCTGCTTAGGATGCTCTCTGGAGATGGAATGGGCTCGAGAATGTGGTGCATAAAAGCTCCCCACTCTATAAAGGATTTGTATGCAGCCACCAGAAAGACCCAGTTACCTGTATGTCTTAATCACCTCTCTGTTGCTGTGAAGAGACACCATCACCATGGCAACTCTTAAAAAGGAAAGCATTTAATTGGGGACTTGCTTACAGTTTCAGAGGCTTAGTCCATTACGGTCATGGCAGGGAACTTGGTGGCACGCATGGCACTACCGCAGTAACTGAGAACTACATCTTGATTTACAGGCCACAGGAAGAGAGAGAATGAGGCCTGGCTGGCATGGGCTTTTGAAACCTCAAAGTTCACACACAGTGACATACTTCTAATCCTTCTCAAATGTGCCACTCCCTGATGACTTAGCATTCAAATATATGAACACATAGCAGCTGTTCTTATTCAAACCACCATACCTTACTTTCCTAGCAATATTATCTGGGGCAGCTCACTCATCCTATGTGGGCTTCATTTTACTCAATTATAAAATGACAATAATTATTGTGAGAATAAATGAAAGTGTTTGCAAAAAGCATAATGAGTGTATTTTTAGCTTGAAAAAGATAAGTTACAGGTATTTACTGTTTGACTCATATCAAATAGACTTCATCTCTGAATAAAGTCAAAATCTTCCCATAAATATTCTAAAAATGAAAATCCACACTTTTTTTCCCAGGGTCTCTATGTAATCCTGGCTGTCCTGGAACTCACTCTGTAGAACAGGCTGGCTTCAAACTCACAGAGATACCCCTGCCTCTGCCTTCCAAATGTTGAGATTAACAGCATACACCACCACACCGGACAAAATCCACTCTTTTGAGTTGACTCTCAAACTCCCATGGCCTATGCTGGGGATATAGATTGTTTGGTAAAGTGTTTGCCTGGCACGCACAGAGCCTTGGGTTTGATATCCAGACACATGTAAAAAGCTGGTGTGGAGGTACACATCTGTAATCCAAGCACCTAGGAGGTCCGGTCTGGAGAATCAAAGTTCAAGGTCATCCTTGGACATCTAGTAAGTTTTAGTGAAGCGTAGAATACATAAGAACTCATTTCAAATTAATAAACACTTCCAGTGGCCTATTATTTCAAATAATATTTGTCATAATGAGAGAATTTGGAGAGATCATTGGTGTTTAGCATGGTCTTTGTTTCCATAAAAATGTCTTCTGATGTTTCTGGCACATGGTTCTGCATGTTTTGCATCAAATTCAATCTGTTACAAAACTCAGAGTTGCTGATGTGGGTTGTCTTGGCATCTCAGATAACTGCCAAGATGCAAAGAAAGTCTCCTAC